CAACCATCCTTCTGGCCTGCAGGAAGGCCAAAATTGATCAGAGTCTTACACTTAGAGTTAACAGAAAAGTAATCTGGGTATATCCCCTAAAATACATAGTTTTGCTACACAGGGTACCTGAATACCTGTGATTTTACTTAGAGTGTGAACAACCATTTTCCAAAAAGTTACCAGTTTAGGACATTCCATACACAATGAATCAAAGTACCTTTCTCAGTCAAACATTTTCACGCAAGTATCTGGAGTATCAGGGGACCACTTATTGAGTTTCTCGGGGGTTATGTATGTCCTCATTAACCATTTTGTGTTGTAGCAGTTTCATGCGAGTATTAATGGTTTGTGTTTGAGCTTTTATACAAGCTGTCGCCCACTCAGCTTCTTCAATATCTTCCTTAATATCTGAGCTCCATGCCCTCCTTCTGTCAGTGACTAGATTCCTCCTCATGTGAGACAAGTACTGTATATAGTATAGAAATTTGGCGTTTCCCATTCATGTGTCTTAAACACATGTCCTCAAGGCAGGACAGCAGTGGTTCTTGTATATCCTGATGACACTTTGATGAAATGAAATGCTTCAATTGTAGGTATTTAAAAAAGTGTTTTTTTGGAATTGAATATTTCAAACAAAGGTCGCTGAATGTTAGTAAGGTGCCCTGATCATATAAGTCTCCAATTTTTTGCACCCCCCTGTCGGCCCAAACTTGAAAACCACCATCTGCCCGGCCAGGAGTGAACTGCGCATTATTCCAAATAGGTGAAAATTGAGAGATGGGAGGTGTATCACCAATATGTTTATGGGCTTTAAACCATATATCAATAGAGTTCTTAAGGAAGGGGATTTGTTTGTTTTTTTCTTTAGAGTTTAAAAATCTGCTGAATATAAATATAGGTTTAGTGGCAGCTTAGATATTGATGCTTGTTCAATATAAACCCATGCTGGAGGAGAATGTGTAACAAAATAAACATAGCACTACGCAGCTGAGCGGCCCAGTAGTACCACTGTAAATTGGCATCTGTAATTAAGTATTTATGCAAATGTTAATCTAAAGCACATAAGTTAAATGCATTGCCAATAAGAAATACGCAACATATTTGCACTCCAAGGCCCCTCTGGTAAAAAGCCTGAAAACAATATATGTTTTAGAGTTTAACAAAGTAAACAACTGAACTTGGAGCATTGCCAGTATTCCCCTGTTGATCTGTTCAGGTACTTGTCACCCATGAAGCAACAGAAAACTTGGACAGTATTATAAACAGACAGCAGGGCATGAAAAACAGCCCCTGTTGCTCCAAAAAATGTTGATGATAATGTCTCTGTCTCCATATGTGGTTGACGTTGAGTGCAATAAAAGCTGTCCAGAAACTGTTTTAACCCCCACCCCCGATTTATTATAATGTTAATTTGTCATGTTGGTATCAATTGTCGGTAATCTAAATTCTATCCTCTGTAGAATTCTGCAGGACCTCAGAAACTAAGGATGGGTCGCCACATTTCTTTTTCAGGCCACACCCACACTTGGTTTCTAAGGGCAGGCAGGGTTGTTTCAGGAATCTCTATAGAAGATGATGGACTGAGCAGATTATTACAGATTTAAGTGTAGCTGCCCTAAATTGTCATTTGGAAAATAAGGAATATTTGGCTTGTTAGGATTGTATGCTTGCAAATTTTTGTAATGTGCTTTGTTTTCTTTAGCAGAGGATAAATAGCAGTGACACTGCTGACTGTAGCTTTTCAACCCCTCACTGCCCTGCCTTGGCCTTTACAAGCTTCTCCTTACACAGCACATTCTCCTTCACTAGGGGGGACTCTAAAAGAAAAACACACACACACACACACACACACACACACACACACATGCACATACATGTAGTTCCACACAGAGAAACAGCCCTGTTCTGCACTTTTCATTAACTCATTTTGAGGTGACATGGGCCCTTAACCTCAGGCCCCTGCCCCCTTACACATCCTCACTTTGATCCCGCAGCCCCTGAGAGCCCTAATGAGCTCTCCATATCAGTTCAGGGTCATTTGCCATCACCATCAAATGCCAAGTAGAGAGAAAAAAACAAATTTGGTGAAACATCCAGTCACTCCCTGTCAAGGCATTTGAGAATTTAGTTCTGGATAACATGATGTTTACAAGGTATGTTGCTCAGAGAGAGACAGATTAGCAATGCCTACTTAATTATTTCTGACTACCAGAACTTATTATCCATCCTAAAAGAAAACTTTTACCTAAATGAAACCTCAAATAGAAACAGAAATCCACAGTTTTATGATGCAGTTTTATGAATTTTGCTACTTTTCACTTTGTGGCTTGGCCTGTCCTGAAAGTCATCAGTCGCGCTCAGTGTCTCTAGCCTAACCAGACCATCATCAAATGAACATAGTGTTGAACTAAAAGCGCTTTAACATGACAACGAAAATAGCTGACTTCTTAGTGCAATGCCAAACCTTTGCAAAAAGATTTAACTATAAAATGTATCATCATTTGAGAGGCTTCAGGAGTCGCTCTATGAAGATAGAATGAAATATAAGTAACATTAGTCTACTGTTCATGCAGCCAAAAATACCCAAGTGGTTTGTACAACAGTCAGTGTGAGGGAGGTAGAGAATATTGTTTATTAGCAGCATAAAGTAGATTTATTGAAAAGCAATTATCACTTTTCTCTGGGTATAGAAATTTCAGCAGAATAAAAATCATGAAAATGTCACTAAAATATGCGGAAATGCAGGGTTTTACACTCCTGGATGAAATCTGCTAGATAGATTTGCTATCACATGATATCTAAACACTTTCTGAGTAGATATTCAATGACTTTCAAGACATTCTCATACCTAGAAAAAAAAGATACTTGGCAAAAAGGGGCAAAGCAAAAAAAGAAGGATTTCCTATTGTTGCTTAGAC